TTGTTAATGGCCTGGATTGATTACAAGAAAGCATTTGATTCTGTTCCTTATAGCTGGATTGAGAAATGCTTAGACATTTTTGGAATTAGCAGCAACACCCAGAAATTCCTTGAAGATTTCCATGAAAACTTCCATGGAAAACTAAGTTGATGGCCTATGGATAAGAACTTGGTGAAATTGAAATCAAATAAGGAATTTTCCAAGGTTATTCATTATCACTTCTGTTATTTGTACTTTCAATGGAACCACTAATAAGCATTTTGAACAAAATGAATTGTGGCTATGAATTGGCTAAAAAGGGGTTGAAAATTTCCCATTTACTCTACATGGATGATTTAAAACTGTTTGGAAAAATAAAAGCTGAATTGATCTCACTGCTGAAAAACATTGAGGAGTTTAATAGAGGCATTGAAATGAAAATTGGCTTTGACAAATTGTTGAAGATGATGGATTCAAACTTGGCAGTGAAGAGTTGATAAAAGCAGTAACACCAGAAGAAGGGTAGAAGAACTTAGGTGTTTAGACGCTTCTGACCTATTGCATAACCAATTCAAGGAAGCTACTTCAACAAAATACGTAAAGCGAATCCAGAAAATTTTGAATTTAGTGGAGGGAATATCGTAAAGGCAATTAACACCTTGGCAGTGTCTGTAATATAATACTCAGTTGAAATAATTGATTGGGCTCAGTTAGAACGTGATAACTTGGATTGAAAGACAAGAAAACTAATGACAATGCACCATGTTCTGCACCCAAAAAGTGATATTGATCGATTGTAGTTGCCTAGAACTGAGAGTGGCAGAGGAGTCTTATAGATGAAACAAACTGTGAAAGAGGGAAAATACGGCTTAAATAACTACATAAAAAAGCAAGATACTCTGCTGAAGGAGGTGAACAAGAGAAACCTCTTGAAAACAACAAGATTGGAAGAAGAATATCAAAAGGAAACAATTGAACATAGTTGCTAACTGAAAAAAGAAGGCTATGCACAGTCAATACCTGAAGGCCATTGAAGAAAAGATACATATAAAGCTAACATGGAGCTGTTTTAAAGCAGGGATGCTGAAGAAAGAAACTGAAGGCTTCATTTTTGCTGCCCAAGAACAAGCTTTGCAGACCAATTCCATGAAAGCAAAAATTCAACATGTCAGTAACAACAGCAAATGTTGTTTATGCAAAGAGAAAGATGAAACAGTGGATCACTTTACCAGCACAATTATCACATAAAAATTATTAACACTTGGTTCCAGAAAGGCAGCTCTCTGTTTAAAATCATAACTTTGGAATCAAATGATTCTGAAGCTCAGCAATACGTTACTACTAATCTTTCTTTAAATGTGCTTGTTTCTTCTGTCTCTGAAACTATTTTTTCATTGTTCAGCCATCTGTACAAAGCACTGTTTTCCTTTTCTTGGCACAATCATTTTACTCCCATTTGCTGGTATTTCTAAACTAGTCTATGACACTATTTATACAATTGTCTTGCTAAGGCTGAAAGGGGCAATGTACTAATGGACAGTATTACTAAAAGTAATTTGCTAATACTTGCAGATCCTAGAGAAGACTTGATAAGAAAAATGCTCCGAGTAATACAAAATCAGTCATAGGCCTCTGGCTTAGCCCAACTATTGAGAAGGAACAGATCTTCTCATAATATAGGTAGGAGTTATATTTATTCACCAATCTTTGGTAAATATAATACTGTATATATTACCATAAATTTTAAAAAATCACAAAGGAAAATTGTACAAATAGTCCTGAGGTTACAAGGGCAACTGGGAACAGAATTTCTATTGCTAAGTGATGCAGTTGTGCAGCATAATGTCACGTGATGGCATTGCTTAGCAATGGCAGCCTTGGAACTCCTGGTTGCTGTTGTAACTCCAGAATTGCATGGGCATTAAGCAAAGACTTCATGTAACTGCAACATGGGAAGAGGAGTCCCATGCAAGCAGATCAGCAGGTGGGTGCTACATAGCATAGGTAGGCAGAGTTGTGGGCAGGTGCTACAAAGTACAGACAGGTGGGCAAATTGTAGTGGGAGCAGGAGTGACTTGTGACTTCCTGCCCGCTTTCCCATTGAATTTGCTTGTTAAAGCTGGTAAGGAAGGTTGCAAATGGTGATCATATGGCTGTGGGGATGCTGCAATTGCTACAACTGTAAGAAGTTGTCATAAGTTCCGTTCTTTCAGTGCTATTGTAATTTTGAATGGTGGCTGAATGAGTGATTATAACCCAAGGATTATCTGCAGAAATGATCGGACCATAAGTACATATTTTTCAGAGAAAATCGATACCTAAAATGAAACATGAGGAAAAACAGATTGCAAAATATCTTTATAAACCACATATCCATCTGTAAGGCCTAGGACTATTTGGAACCTTGTTATGATTTCATATTAAGATATTTAAATACATTTAAAGGCTAACTACATTAAGATATATATGGTAGATTAAAAAGTAGTGCAATTTTATAAACTTACATAAGTTTCACAGCAAATTATAACATTCCCTCTATAGGTTAGCAGCTACTCTATTTTTATCCAAATGTAGCAGATATTATTTCTAAAGATTGCATCCACTACAGACTATATAACAATCTGCACCTATGAATAAAATTGCTGGAAGACAAACATTTGTGTTTGTAGATAGCAATGGTAATATGACACTATACAAAGTCCACAGAAAGCAATACATAAAAGATTCTATTATTAAGAAAAACTTCCCTTACATCAGAAAGTATTATTCCTTTGTTATTTAAATTCTATTAATCTGCATTAGAAATGCCATGTTCATTTGGTCAAGATATGACTATATTTGTGAAGTTAGACAACATATATACTGTACTTCTTATAATTTTAATACATGAAGTTTATAGTAATTACTATTCCTGCACTCCATTATTGTCTCTCTAAAAAAATGCAAATTCACTTTTTATAAGCATTTTCTTTTCCAATGACTCATCAGTAATCCTGTTTTGAAATAAATGATGAAACATCTCTTGAGATTTTTGTTATTTCAAACTTATAAACTGACTACAAATTTCATTCCATTAATTTTGAAAACTCATTTAAAATATTGAAATATAATTTTAATAAAAGAGGAGGTTATTAATAGATATTGCATTCAATTCAGTCATGGAGCATGCGAACATAAAGAAATACGCCACCTAATGATTCAAAAGCATACTGCACTTTGTTTTTGTGTAAAACAAAAGTACCCAAGAGGATTACTTGACTCCACACTGAATGAACAGATAGCAATTATCTCCTTATGCGACTAGAAATCAATGACACTGGAGAGGGTTGTTTTTCTGGTCTCCTCATAGTTCTTACTCATTGAATTCAAAGTACTGAAATCAGACACGTGGAACTTTTAACCCTATTATTCACAAAATAGAGAACAACAATAAAGCCAAACAATCTCTTACTTCTGAAAATAGCTATTACATAAAAGTGGCAATCTGTAAACTAAAACCATGAAATGGTTTTTATAGATGAGGTTATCAGGTGGGAAGTCTTTTACTTGCATCAAAGTAAAAGTACATCTCATAAATAATACATATTTGGTAAAAGAATCTGCAGTATAGAGATGTTGCAATTTTGCTATTGAAAAGACAGTAACTAAGAATGCATGTAATTTTTTTCACTTCCCTTTTGAAAAATCATAAACTTATCTGCAAACTATTGTACATCTTTGTTAAGACATTGAAGGTAATATGCTTGAATATAACAATATTCTGTTTTAAATCCAGATCACATTGGTCCAAATATTAAAGTAGTGGTCTGTCAGTTTTTAGGAAGGAAATATTCCAGAACAGAATCACAAATTACTTCCTATGGACTACATAAGATTAATACTGACTGTTGACTGCTCTCTTAAAGCAAAAAGCTCACATGCTTTGGGCAATAATGTGAACTAGACAACATCCTTGTGGTTAGCAAATTTGAAGAGACTAGAAGATAAACATAAAGTGGGTGGATAAAGACAGATCAAAATAGTATTTGTCTATGTAGTTACCAGGATCTGAATGCGAGTTTCATGTGCGATCCTTCATTTACCCATATGAAGTAATGTTGTTTTTCTTTGTTCCTATTAAATTAATTGTTCTAGCAACTTTCTTTTCCAGAAACATCAACTATATTGTATGCCCACTGGGATGCACATGAGCGCATACCCTTGAGCATGCATACCTTGGCATTAGGCAACTCTGACTGAAAAACAACATATAGTAAGCAGTAATACTACCTAACTCCCACAGGAACATGACTGGAATAGTTTCCACTCTTGTTCTCTAAAGAAAAACCAACAAAGGATTTGAGATATGACGCAGCATACAAAATCTCATGAGAAAGAGTTCTGAGAACCTCATTTGCTATTTGACAAAGTCATACATTGAAGACTACTTTTGAAAAAGACTAGTATTCCCATAGAGAAATAGTACAATAGGAACATTAACAATAGAGGAATAGTTAGCTACTCAAAAGCAATAACTCTCCAACCTTCTTTGCTTTTTTGTTTTCCCCACAACTGTTTTTCCTAGGACTGCTTCTTCTCTACATGATTCAGTGAGATATAAGATTATGAGTTACTTTTTAATGTCTTTTTTACTGAATTCATTACACTTTTCATGTTTTAAGACAACAATCAATGCAAGATCAGGTCTATCATCAAACAGAAATACATGACAGTGCAACCTCTGTAAATGTTCAGTAAGTTTTGTATTCAGAGATAAACTCTATTGGAATTACTTTAGAATAGGTAAATAAATAAAGCCTGCTTTAGAACGAAAACATCCTGAAACATATTGGTTTTAAAAGCAACCATGATATGTCACTAGCCGATTTATTTTTAGATTGTTATAACTTCACTGTTTAGTGAAGTAGTTCTTACAGATGCAAAGAACCTGTAGCAAAGAACGTGGGTGCACCTTATAGCATACAGAATCTAGAAAATACTTTTTAAAAATAAATGATTTCTATTTGATTAAAGATACTTACCCAGAAAAACAAATCCATCTACTTCTTTGTCAGTCACAGCTACCTTTTTGGTATCCTGGCTTTTTCTGAATAAACTGAACATCTCTTACAAGTCTAAGAATAAAAAGTACAGAAAGCAAGCAAAAAGTAAAGAAAGCAAAACAAATTCACATTTCTATAATTATCAAAATAAATTTTGGAAAACATTTCATCTGGAAAGGTAAGCTTAAGAGGGACAATTAATAATTACCATTAATTAAAAAAACTACATAGGATTTGTATGTTGAAACAGGAATTGTCAATTCGAAAGCATTAGTATTTTGCACAATAAAGCATAATTCCAGCTCCCTAAATTTAATAATAAGAGCTGGAGGTACTTCTTTATGCTGATGATGTAGCTATTCTGACTTAAACTTGGATTGTTCTTAAAAGAACCAGATTATTGTAGAGAAGAACCGATGATAGTAAAATATTCAATAATTGCAAAAGGAGTTTTCTCAAAGATACTCAGATGGCCAAACATCAGCAGATTAACAATAATAATTTAGACAAAATTTTATACTTCAAATACAGGTAGTCTTTGACATTAATTTAATGGCCGTAGCAGCATCCCCATGATCGTGTGATCAAAATTCCGATGCTTGGCAACTGGTTCATATTTAGGTTGGTTGCAGTATCCCAAGGTCATGTAATCACCTTTTGTGTTCTTCTGACAAGCAAAGTCAATGGGAAAATCAGATTCACTTAATAATGTTGTTACTATTTATTTTGTTTATTTGTTTGTTCTTTCATTCAATTTGTAAACAGCTCAACTCAACCCAGTATCCTGGAAGGCTTACATTTCTAAAATTATAAACAATTTCAAAAACATTAAATAGAAACAGCCCCAATACAGGGTGGATTTTTAAAAAAAATAAAAAATAAAAAAGATTCTTTTTTTAATTTAAATCAAATTTATTTTAATAAAATGCTTTGGGAGTAAAAAATCTATCTAAAGATAGTTTTCTATTTAAGATACGTTAATAATTTATTTTATTCATCATGAAATGGAGCTTAGTTATGTAGCATGAGGCTGCAAATTCTGCAATATTGGGATTATCGGTGAGTCAACAACGGATCAGAGGAGGAGCCACTGCAGGACAGAGATGACAATTGTTCTTTAAAAATTATAATTTAAACTGAGTTGATTTAAATCAAGCCTTTTTACTAGTGATTTAAATTGACTTGATTTAAATCAAATTCATCCTGCCATAATATAAATAAATACAAACAGCAGCTATTATAACTAATCAATTAATAGTAATGCTAAGTAATAGGGATTTAACGCATTCTAAGCCCCAGGGCCAGATATATAGCAAAATTTTAAAGCTTTGCAAAAAGCCAACAGGATTAGATCCATTCTAATCTCTGAGGGAAGAATATTCAATAGGGCAGGGGCTATAGCAGAAAAAGTCTTTCTTCTAATTCCTGCCAGTCAACATTCTGGCTACAGCATGCCCTGTTGGATTGCATTTACCAGGTAGAAACTCTTGTAAAAAAGACAATCCTTCAGGTAACCTGGTATTGAGCCATGTAGGACTGTAAAGGTGAAACCAGCATTTGAATTACACCAATAAACACTCTGGTAGCCAGTGCAGTACTATAGTTACATGTTGTGTGTAACTGGTACCATATATTATCCATGCAGCAGTATTTTATATTAGTTGAAGTTTTCAAATGCTGTTCAAGAGTAATCCTATGGTAACTGACTACAAATAAGTTTTTATTTATCTGACCATAAATATACATACTTAGTTTTCATTTTATTCACACAGTTTTTAAAAATATTTTAATATTATTTAAATATTTAATTATTTAAATAATTAAATATTTAAATACAATTTAAAATAATTAAGTGAATTATTTTGCCATCTTTATTGCTGCTTCATTTCTCAAACTGCCTCAATAAACTAAGGAGCTACATGGGATCATCAGGTGGGAAGAGGCCATTTGGAAGTGATATTGTTAAACACACATCCTCTCCCGCTACTTGAGCAAGTGGGGATGTGCACACGTGTTAATGTTCACCCACCACTTCTGCAGCCGGGTTATAAACAGCTCAAGACTCGGTAGTGGATTGCTTCTAATTCCAGGGACAGGAAGTTGAACTTATTCCACAACAGTTCATATTAGTCCCCAATAATATCTGCAGTAAAATCAAGCACCTTTAGCAAGCTACCATGCAACTAGAAGAATGGTACAATAGTAAGCACTGTCTCTTTAACCCAATTATTATGAGCAAAGTCTCCTATTTGGTCATCTACAAAACAGGACTTCTCACAATACTTGTGTCTCCCAGTAAACAAATACCCTCTAATTTCCACTATCTTGAAGATAGTTGTTATATTTCCCATTCCACTCAAGCATCCCACTCAAATGGAAGGTGCTAATTATATGTTCCTCCATACCCAACACACCCTCTGGTTATGATCATAAGTGCTATAGCCTAACTTCTTCCAAAATAAGTAATAGAATGCATTATAAAAAAAAACAGTAGCTGTGACAGAAACAGGTCAATACATGCAAGGAAAAAAAGCACTTTCCAGGAACAGAAAGAACTGTATGTTTAAATTCTGGGCTACCTAGGCACAAAATTAAGCCAAATTTTGTAGGACTCACTGAATGGATTTATTATAATTGCTAAGGTTTTGTAGTGCCACTGTAAGCTGCAAATGACACACTGTTTGTAGCTATACAACAAGCTTCCCATTGCCAACACAAAAGGACCCACTAACAGCTGTATTCTAATAAGACTGAAGGAACCAGTTTGATGTGTGGGTTAAGGCACCAACTGGAAAGAGATTTTTGGGACAAGTCGTTCTTTCTCAGTCCTAGTAAGAAGGCAATAGTAAAACTGAAGTTATTGCCAAGAAAATTGCATACGCACACAGACACATGCACATACACATACAACGTCTGAAGAAAGAGGTTTCTAAATCAAACTTGTGCGTGACAGATATTTTCGCTAAGCATGCAAACAAGATCTGTCAAAATTGCCTCATGAATTCTGAGCCAGCTCATGAGCACATCCGAAACCCTTCGCCCATCAAAATACTTTCAAGACCACCAAATTAACATCTCGCGTCCCGTGTAACGATTGAGGGTGTCACGCAATTATTGGTCCGGCGAGTTTCATTTTTCTAACTTCCTCTGTCAGCACAGAGGAATCCAGCCGAAGCATTAACCCTATTCTGCTCCATCAAACACCCACCTCTGTCAGACACTTTACCACAACAATCTTCACTTCCGGTTCACCCAAATTGCATCCTGGAGGCTATTATTTAGATCTTCGGTGCACGTTGACACGGGGCGCCGGCGCATTACGCTATTTACGCACATGCCTTGTTGCCCGCCTCCCAGGTGCCTAGCGGAGGTTGCTGCTCTGGAACGCTATTGGAGCTTCGACCTTCCACGTGACTTTAGTGACTGTTGGTGATACGTTCGCGCTCTGGCACGAGAGCGGAAGTCAAGTTTTTCCCGCCAAGGCCAAACACCGAGGAGTTAGCCTGGATTTCCTTCTGAAATGGCCGATATATTGGAAGGTCCCCGCGTTCGTGTCAGCGCGAGTCAGTTGTCGCAATACATCGGAAAGCCAGTCTGTTTCGTGGGACGCCTTGAAAAGGTAATAGGCAGGAGATAGATTCTCTTTGCTGTTAGTGCGACTAAGTTAGAACTTTCTTGATCTGGGGAACGGCAGGTAAGTGCCAGCACTTTTATTTCAAATTGGGGAAATCATCTATATTTCGTATTATTATACATGGTCGTGATGACATATGAAATATTTACTATGAGGTAGGCCTTTATCTTTGTTAAACTTGTATGTATATTGAGATATTCCTTTTTAGCGCTACCTTGCTCTAGTGACCAAGGGTTGTAATTTTGATCGTGTTACAGTGGCGCTTTAAATTAGAAACATGTAATATTTTATTAAATTTAGATTTTTGGGGCTTCTCTTCTTCCCTGTGTTATTTAAGGGACTTGTATTATTTACTGAGTTGAAGTAAATCACCAGTGAGTCATGTAGTGCATCATTTAAAAACAACTTATTTTGCTGTCTTCAGTTAAAAATAACAAAAAGTACAAATAAGCCAAGTAGCATAGTGAATAGAGACATTATTTTTCTATGTTTGTTTACTTGATGCTCTTGGACTTTCAATATTTGATTATACTCTTCTCTTTTGTTGCTTTCAACAGTTTAACATTGATATGGTAGTCATGCTCTTAACCTGAAGTCAGTGATTCAATAATTTTTTTCACAGTGGGCTTCTAAATCAGTAGTTCCTGTGAAAAATTTAGTGGTCTGCACAAATATTATTTGCATTTTTATATTGCACTAAATACTATTTATTTTTTTAAAAAAATTAATATTAATGGTCCGCTGGATTTAAAATTATGAATTTAGTGGTCCTTGAGGTCTGAAAGGTTGGTGAGCCCTGTTGTAAATGATCCAGAAGCTCCAATTCACATAGAATGAAACTTCCTGCCTGCTGCTACTAAATGGTTTAACATAGTAACACTTTTGCTGTGAGCACTGCACTGATTGCTGGTTAACATCCAGGCCTCACTTAACATGCAGATTATAATCCCTAACACCCATTATGTCTGAAATCCTCATTACATTTGGGATTGTATTCTTCAGATAATCTGTCAAACCAGTAGATTCTAGTTGGATGGGATACTGAAAAATTGGGAGGAGATGGTAGCAGGAAAATGGCTTTCTTGTGGTTACCTGTCACTCTGAGGTCAGTTAACTCTTTCTGCTAACATTGAAGAAGGCAGTTAAAACAGGTCCTTTGGGGAAGAATACATAATTTAGGTGGATAGTAATTTTGGGCTAGTATGTTTTTAAAAAAAACATTTTTTAAATTGTAAGATGCTTAGACTCTCAGAATAGGTGACACATAAATACTTGAAAAGAACAAATCTTATTCATGATGCTGCCAGCAGATAATCCCATGAACTGGATAAAAAAATAAATTTACCCTAGTGCCTGATATCCCGTTCCTTTGCACAAGAATACTGAAAAGTCTTACAAATAACTTGACCTTTTACAATGTTGCTAAGTAAACATTAATAGGTATGGCTTGTTTATTGATAAAACATGAATTTCTAGTAATTCTATGATGATTTTTATAATGGTAAAATGAACAAGGTTTATTTGAGCAGAGTGCTTTCAATTATTACAAATAGATCATAATTCAATATCAAATCAAACAAGCCTGGTAACATTTCTTCTGATTAGTAGATTTATTAAGAGACACAAGGCTTTTCATTTCACTAGATGCACTCTGTGCATGTGGTGAAGTGAGCTGCAGTTCAAGAAAGTTTTGTCTTTTAACAAAATTTGTTAGTTGGAAAGGTGCTATCACCTGATGGATAAGCAGTTAGAAAAAGTCATGTTTCTATGATACCTGTAGCAAGATTATTGTACACAAAAAGATGGAGAGATTTGGCATTTTTTCATTTGACATTACAATAGAGCAGGGATGGCGAACCGGTGGCACACAGAGCCATTTGTCAGGGCACGTGAGTTCAGCCTTTTTTAAAGCCATTTTTCACCCTCCCCAGGCTCCAGAGGCTTTATAGGAGCCTGAGGAGGGTGAAAAGAGCCTCCCCCCCCACCCAAGGCCCTCCGAAGGCTTCAGGAGCTTCCCTGAAGACTTGGGAGTACAAAAAAAAGGCCCTATGGGCAAACCTGCAGTTTGGGAATGGTTTGCTCGTAGGGTCCTTTTTAGTCCTCCGGAAGCTTTAGGGAAGCCTCCTGAAGGTCCCTGAAGCCTCCGCAGGGCCTCCAGGGGGGAGGCTGTTTTCGCACTGCCCAGGCTCCTCTAAAGCCTCTGGAGCCTGGGGAGGGCGAAAAACGTATGCAAAAAGTTGTGGGGGCTCTCATGCGAGCATAGGCACTGGGGGGGGTGTTGCATGTTGCATTATGGGTGTGGCATGCCCACACACGACCCCCCTGCGCTCCCTCCCTTTATGGCATGTGAGCCAAAATGGTTCGCAATTGCTGCGACAGAGGAATGGTTGGTGAAGATGACTGAACTCACGGAAATAGCCAAACATGTATAAACACACATACAACATAAATACCCATAGTGTTAAACAGAAAACTAATGCAAACAAATATAAAGAACACACACACACACACACACACAACAACAACAACAAAATGAAATGTCTATTTAAAAGTTAGAGAAAAGAGAAAGCTACATTTATTTCGGCCTACCTCTTAGGGACTTTTTGTATTAAAAAAAAACCAAATAACTTATCCTATATGGTTTTGTAGGACAAGGAGTGGCAAAACATGAGGGTGGAGTCAAAAGAAAAATCAGCCTAGAATCTTTGCATAGCTACTAAACGGGCTAAGTCCAACTTCTCTTGAGTTCTGTTTACCGCCAAAATAATACTAAGCTTATTTAAGTAGATTTCTGTTCACAGGCATGAGTGATAATAAATCAGTTTAACTTCATGTGTGATCCTGGTCTTTTGCCCCTGGTAGGTTTCATTACCATGATGAGTTTTAGAAAAGTTACACTATAATTGTATTTATAACTGTTGTAAAGAAGGATTGCAAGCTATTTATTTTTGTACCTCTTTTTTTCTTTCATTTTTTTCCCTTTTTCGCCTTCCTTTTTCTCTTTTTTAGTTTGCATTAGTCTTATTCTTGTGTTTTATCATTTTCAGTAAAATTATACATCCTCAACTTATGACCAATAGCTACTGTTCAAAATTCCAATAGATCTACCTGAGAACTACTTACGACTTAGATTCAAAATTCTGACAGCCCCTCCTACCAGTCACCAGGTTACACTTAAGGCACTCAGTAACAAGGTTGCATTTTTGGCTGTTTGCAATGTCCCATGGTCCTTAGACTGCATTTTACAACAGTTTTGCTAAAAACCATCATTTACTTCCTGTTTGGGGAAAAAAACACCTGCAGCGAAGCATTATTTGCTTAACAACCATAATGATTCACTTAGTAACAGCCACAAATAAAGTCCATTATCTTTACAACCATCATAAGTTATGGCCAAAATGGTCTGGCTCTATTACTGTAACTCAAGGACTACCTGTATATAAAAAGGAAATATGCTACTAGATTCTTAATTCTAACACCTACAGCGTGAACCTTGCTTTTTCTTTGTGTGGATCTTTGTCTCTATATTAAAATATTACTATGAATAATTATTTGGTAGATCCATCCATCTGGGAAATTATTCTTTCTATCTGATGGAGAAGGAAAAAATGCAACAATTGAGCTAAATTCACCTGTAAGTATGAATATACCTTAAAGAGCCTTGTAATTTATTACAATTTACCTTTTTTATTGGCTTGGGAAGTTTTAATTTAAGTGAATATCATGTTGTAATACACCATCAGGTTATTAAAAGGTTACAGTGACACAAAGTCCTATCCTAATATTGCTGTAGCATCAACAAGGATCTCCTTAAAACATGTGATGATGTCTGCTTTGCAGACATCTCTTGATGTCTGTTCTTTGTGTCCCAGAGACATATTTCTTCGCATACCATTTTGAGAGGATGCTATATGCCTTACTTTCTTGGCATCCATACTGACCGATAATAGGACTCAATTACATTTTATTTTTACAGAAGCAAAGCACAGAACCCAGTTTCAAGTGTTGTATTTTAAATGCCAATAAGAGAGAAACAAGTATCAATTAAGCCAAATGCTCTCAAGAAATTAATTTTAAGTTGCAATTTGAGGAAATGGAAATTATTTCTATGAGCAGAAAATACTATATGGATCTTTTCTATTCTACTATGGGCTCTTAAAATCTTTAATACAGACTAAGCTTTTTTATTAAAGCATTGCTTAATGATTACTAAAAGTTTTTTTGATGAATTTTAGCCAGGAAAATACTGTGGGTAAAGACTTTTCATTTTAGTTTGCTTTCCCCAAATGACATTGAAATGACTAAAATTCCTGATTTTGGGAGATGCTGACTCTCATCTACTTTACTAGCTTGAAGAAGAGATATCTGGCATTATTGAAGTAGTAGGAAGAGTTACAAATCAATTGAATATCATATGTTCGTCATATATGCAATTCAAAGAAGATAAAAACATGTTTGGTAAGCAAGTTATTTTTGTATTTCAAGTTGTGGTTTTTTCTTAGTTTTTAATAAGCTTCTAATTTCTCAAAGTCTCTTGCTAATTCTTCTGTAATATGCACAATTTCATTACACCAGAATTTAAATCCACATGAAGCTTCTGTTTTAGCATAATAGTTTTTGTGTCCATGTCTAATTATATGAATACAGAAATATTCACAACTTTGTAGCAGCCAACCAGTTCTCAAAAATTCTTAATCTGAAAAATAAATATGAGCATATAACCAGCTGAGCAGGATCCTATTGATGTTTAGCCTAGATTTTCCAATTATGATTTTTCATCTATATAGCGATTTATGGCTATGCTCTCATGCCTGAAAACTCTTGAATATCGCAGTTTAATTTATCTGTGGGTTCAATCATGATATTAAAAGCAATTCCTTGAAATATTTTGCAATTGGATTAACATTGTGATTAAGCTTTTCTTTTAAAATAGATGACAAACATTAATATTGCATTATTAGAGCAGTGTATTTTCGTATAGAATAACACATTCTATTTTCATTTCTTGTCCAATTTCTTTCAGATCTTTCAATGTACAATAAAGCTGTAAAAATTATCCATGAATTTCCTGAGTACTACCCTTTCAGTACTGATGTATGACTGATGCTTATCTTGATATTGTGAGACCTTTTATAATGTTTATTGAACGAAACTATGAAAAGCATCACTGGACAACTTTTCTAAAAAATCTAATTTTCTAATAATTTGTTGTGTCTCCCATATGTGACAAACTTGGATTTCATATTTGTTTTCCTTTTAGTGGATAGTAACATATTTTTAATGTTAACATTTTGAGATAAATATATGTATGTGAAAAGCACTCAAATTAAAAGTTTCACTAAGCAAATCATACTTCTACTATAATAAAGGCTGACAAGTATGCCAGGCTTGGAAAGAATGGCAAAGTTCCTTATCTACTACATATGAACAACTGTTTAAAAAGAACAATTATGGAAATGCATACATTATGTTTATCAAAACCTGAAATACTTTAACTATTTTTATATGTTAATAAGGCACTTTAGCTGATTTGCTTTATCTTCTGTCAAGCCCATAATAGCTTCTGTATAATCTTAAAATCTGTTTTGAGGTGGTATCATTTTCATCATTAATAAACACTTTAAATATGACAAATGTCCTTTGCTTAAAATGGATTCATTCTAAAATTATTTCACTTGAGGGTGGGTAAAATCCTGCTGTGTAGAGCACACCTGAATTAAAAGTTATAAGAAAAAGTTTCATTTAAAGATGTAATTAACATTTACAAGTCTAGCCTGCATGAAGTTAAAACCATAGTTTTACTACTTTTAATAAAATGATAAAAATAATATTCAGCAGTATTACCCTCAGCCTTCTGGTTTAGCCTTTCATAACAGTCTCAGTTTCTCATGTGGCCCCTTGAGAAAATTATTGCCCCCCTCCTGGGCTAGTTACCCCAACTCACCTCACAGGTTGTTGTGGGGAAGGAGGAAAGAGTATTGGTATTTTTACTACCTTAAGTTGCATATGGGAAGAAAAGTGGGAGAATTTTTTTCCCTAAAAGACTGGCAAAAATTGGAGAAAATGTGAGGGAGTGCGTAAGGGTCAGGGTGGCATGGTAAGGCCACGTGATGGAGGTGCTAGGGTGGCATGGTAATGCCTATGGATGTGAGGGAGGCATGGCAAGCTTTGGGGAGGGAGCATGGGAAAATAGCGAGGTTGGGAAGGATATGTGAATGGTCAGTGTGAGTATAGGATGCTGGGGGACATTTTCCATAGACTTGCACTTCCCATGACTTTCTGGGTAAGCTGGCCAAGAAGGTCAAAATAGCATTTGCAGGGTACTGCAATGAGTTGTAAATGCTGACTGATTGCCTTAAGTCCAGAACATGATCAAATGACTGAGCTGTTCAGGTTACCATCCTAACTTTGAACAATCACTCAATGAATAGTTGCAAGTCAAGGACTACCTGTATTAGTAAATTATATGCTTTTGCTTAGAAAATATTATTACATAATTTCAACCAACAGAGAAATAATTGAGGATAGATACTTTGATATGGGAACTTGTGCAATATAAGAATTACTGATACTCATTTCTGTTCATTTTGAGTTGTTTTTACAACAAAAATGAAATTTATTCTACTGTATGACAGACCAAATGTTGTAAGCCAAGTGTTTCCACGTATCCTTAACTTGGATTTTTCATCTCATTAAAATTGGGGAAAATATTTTTGATTGATTCTGTTTCAAGCACAAATTGCAGGACGCAAGCAGTACTAGGAATGCTTTAAAAGTATTGCAATGTTCTCAACAATTGGCTATAAACTCCTTGGATCTCAGGTATTGACAACTTTCCAACTCTTACGGAATAAATGATCGTTTTCTGCAAAAAGGGAAATATATCTGTGATGACTTTGTAATTAATATGTGTGTTCAACACAAGTTGGTAAAGGGAAAAGAAAGAAATGTTCTTTCTATTTGTTTAAGTTGCTGGACTATTTAAATTAGTTATATAGCACAAATAGTATATACAATACTTACAAATTAATTCAAGTAATATAGAACAAATTGGAAGACGTGGACATTGAAGTAACATGACTTTCATTAAGAACGAAAATTAATGGAGTAAGAGATCTTAATCTAAAGGCCAGCAAATAAAAAAACAACATTATGGTATTATAAGGATATTTAATAAGAAAGTTTGCAGCAAAATAATTTGTGTGTATGTATGTATGTATGTGTATACATACATACATACACATACTAACATAAAATGAAAAATAATAATAATGATCCAAAATTAGGCAATGTTCCATTCTTCTTTTCAATATAATATTAAATCTTAAAAGTATATTAAAAATGCAAAAATGAAGTGTAACTTAATGTTTCAATACAGAATTACAGTAAAAGCTTAATCTAATAATCAAAACTGCAATCAAATCAAGCATATATTTTATTTTAAATGGAAGCAGCTGTATTAATGCAATCCAAGTAGTTGAAATGCCTATTAAAACTTCTCTCTGTTATTGTTTTACAATGAGGACATAGCTTTAGAAGCCAATTTGAAGAGCTTTTCACCACTGCAATAACCAGAACTTAGTTGAGAATTCTGGAAGAGGTAAACCCAAGCTATCTGGAAGTTGTCAGATTGGAAAAGGATAATCTAGAACGAAGTTTCTCAACCTTGGCAATTTTAAAATCTTTAGATTTCAAATCTCAGAATTCCCTAGCCATTGTGCTAACTGGGAGATTCTAGGAGTAGCTATCTACAATATGTCATGGCTATCTACTGAAGTAACTTGGTGCAAGATGTCCTTACTCATCAAATAAAATGTAAATTTCCTACTTTTCAAATCCAGACATTATCATTTCATGTTTACATAAGGGCAGAAGACAATTTACCATCCATGCACTTCAAATATAATGACCTCAAATATAAGAACAAACATAGTTTCTAAACTGCACTTAATGGCTTAATATTTGAGACAATTATTAAAACAAATTGCTTATTAATATTCCAAAAATATATAACAAATTAAAAACACAAAATTTTGATTGGAAGTAGTCTTAGAAAGTGTACATATCATGCAACAAAACTATTCATAAAAATAAATATAATTTATCCATTACAGATTGTTTTGCTTTATAAACAAGGTATGCATATAGATGTTACTCACATCCTGGGTACAAATGGAGGCCATTTCCATAAATGATACATTTTCTATATTCCTTTCATTTGTGCCCGTTATCTAGGTTTCTTTAGAATATTTTTCATACAAAAAGATTTTTTCAAGAAACACAAAAGCAGCAATGAATTAAAATATTGCATGATTCTTAGATCCTAACTTGCACAATACAAAATATAAAATTGAGAATTAGTGAGTGAAGTGTTATATAAAGCAGTTACTAAATTGCACTGAAAGTAGAGGGGTTCTAATTATCTACTGAAATTTTGAATAGCATGCTTGTTATATTAGTAATTGACAGAAAATATGTAAACTAGACTAATAAGTATACCAGGCTGTACCAAATGTTATCCAAATGAATTTCCATGCATGCAGGATGGCATTTTCCTTCCCTTCTTGATCCTAGAATGCTGAATGTACAATGTCAGCAGGACCATAAACTGAATACACTTGCTATTCCAAACAATTTAATGTTTTTTGTTGGAAACATGAAAGCTTCTATTGTATGTTAAACAGATTCTAATCAATAGAGAAACACTTGGAGTGAAATATTTGGCGCAAAAGTCAATATGGTAAAATAATGACAAGTGGCACCTATATCAGTGATTAAAGCTATTTTTTCAGATTGTTCTTCAATAAAATTACGTGATAGAAATGAGTGTCCTAACTCAGAAATATTCAGATGAATATATCAATTCGCACTAACTGAAATTTAGCGTTACTATTTATTCAAACTAAGTAAAAACTAATCAAAAGATTGTCACAGGATTGTAGCTAACTGTACTGTACTGTGAGCAAATAAAATATAGAAACTTTCTCAGATAAAAGAAAAAATACTAATAGAAATAGAAATACATCTAAAACACATTTATTTGCCTCCCAGTGAACTGTTTTCTGAAAGTTTATAAATTCATTTAAAAAAGTGTTTAATGGTACTTTTTCTTAGATGGAAGTCTCAAGGTGCAGATAGTGTAAGTCTTCCTCTGCATTTCAATGAACCGTCTGAAAAGAATTGCTTCACAAATCACTGAATAAAACCCACATGACATGTTTGAAAAACTCAGTCCAGAAGAACTCGGTTATGCAAAACACATCAAAAACCATCTGCACAAATTGCCGATATGAAAAAATGATTTATATTTCTATTATAAGCAAGTCATGAATAACTTGCTCTGAGGTATGTGTTTGGACTGTGAAGCACACGTATTAGAGATGTGAAAATTCTTAGAAAAGCTCTACTTTATGGCTGAACCACCTCTGCTGGGATGAGATTTCCTGTTGTATCCAACTGCATACACTTACAGGAACATGCAGAAACAGGGCATTCATTATGATCTCTGTATAAGAAGAAAAAGCAAAATATTATTTAACTGCAAGAAAATGCTTTGACGTGTATAAATAAATACCTATGTATATATCTTTCATAAGAAATATGAATTTTGGTACACATAGAAAGGACTTAGAAAAGAAGATATACATTATTTTTGAATTGGTGATACGTGTAAAATTAACACCCCAATATTGAAAAATTAACCCTATAAATAGGATAAATAGGAAAAAATTTAAAAGTTTATATTTTTTAGTTATATAATGTTATAGTTTTAAAATTATAGGTTAGCTATATTTTTCTACTGAAACATGTTCTAAACTTGCCGGAAAGAAATGGTTAACTGAACAAAAAGCACCTTGGGACAACCATGACCTGGATGACAAGAATTTCCAGAGACTTTTTTCCATAGCTAAAAGTCGGAGGAGATTCTCAGTCATCCAAGTCATGGTTGTCCCAAAGGTGCTTTTTCAGGACACAACTTTCTTGTTTTTTCTTTGAATACATTTCACTTTTCATCCAAGAAGCTTCTTTGGCTCTGATTGGATGGTAGGGAATGTCTTCAAGGAATATAAATCCTTGCATTTCCCACCACCCACTCAGAGCTGGAGAAGCAAAACATCTTGAAAGAAAAAAAAAGGAAGTCCGGTTGCCTCCTGAAAAGGCATGTTTGGGACAACTATGACCTGGATGACTGAGAATCTCCATAGAGATAGACTTTCACTGAATGCACAGAAATTTTTCTTATATTTATTGTGGTCTGTTTTTTGCTAATCTCTTTCTTGATATAGTTTGTAGAATTAGAATTTTGCTGATATATTTTGATATGTAAACATATTAACTAAAGATATAGATACATGATAAGGCTAACAAGGATTCTTGGCTTCACATAGTATTTTTAGTTTCTTACCTGAACCAGCTGAGCATATGTCCAGCATGACCACCATGCCTACAGTTGTGACACCAAGTAAACCAGTTGTTGAACTGAGCTAATTTCTTGTCCTTGCTGAGATCCACTTTTTCATCTGACTTGGATCCTCCTTTATGAAAAAAAAATTAGTTAATTTGCTTTTGTAACTGTTGGGAGTATGCTCCTAGTGTTGGGTAGGCAATATATATCTTTAT